GTTGAACTAGTGAGTTCATAACTGACTTGCAGATATTCAGTGAATTCTAATTAACGATCATAGCTATCTGATGCAAATACAATAAGGGCCTGCTATTTTCTTTTTCATATACTGATAGCTATCTATGATCTACCTAGATATGTAGGGATTTTTTTTTTTGCCAATAATGCATCTATTTGTTTGTATTTATCCAGCAACTGACAATTGATCAGTGTAGGATTGATTTTATTTTTTCTTAATACAAATGTCAATAGGTTTGAGAGCAAGAGATTCTGTCGAGATTGCCGAAGGAATGTTATCCGTGAATTCAAGGAACTGAAGGAACTGAAACGCATGCGAAGGGAACCTCGCTGCACCAGTTGGTTCTGTGTTGCAGACACTGATTTCCAGTGTGAGGTCAGGGTGCCTCCTCGATGCCCACTTCACTATTCTAACTTCAATTCAATAGCTTCTGAGTTATATTCAAGTTACATGTGGCTTCTCTATTTTCTAGGTGTTTGAGGATGCTGTCATAATTGATTGGCGCCAAACTTTATCAGAGGCAGATGGATCTTATCATCATTTTGAATGGGCCATTGGGACAGATGAAGGGCAATCTGATGTTTTCGGCTTTGAAGATGTTGGGATGAATGTACAAGTCCACAGAGATGGTATTAATCTTGATCAGTTTGAAGACTATTTCATAACTTTGAGAGCTTGGAAGCTTGATGGGACCTACACAGAGCTGTGCGTTAAAGCACATGCCTTAAAGGGCCAATCGTGCGTACACCACAGACTGGTGGTAGGGAATGGTTTTGTGACAATTACAAAGGGTGAAAGTATCAGAAGTTTCTTTGAGCATGCTGAAGAGGCTGAGGAAGAGGATGTACGTGATTACCACTAATGGTGGACTATATCTAACTAGGCTAGACTTAATTAGGACATTTATTATTGGTGCTAAAAGTTGCCATTCTGAGTTTCTGACCCATAAAAATATTTGCAGGAAGAAGATGCCATGGACAGGGATGGAAATGATCTTGATGGTGATGGCTTACATCCACAGAAGCATGCCAAAAGTCCTGAACTGGCAAGAGAATTTCTTTTAGATGCCGCGGCAGTTATATTTAAAGAACAGGTAATTTGTAATCAAAGTATAGAAAAGAAATGTTGGAAGCAATACTTGTTGTAATGATTGTGGCTGTACAAAGAAAGAAAAAAAACTTGATTTTCTAAACCACAGCTCCCAAATTTGGGTGCACAACCTGCATATCATACATTCCATTTCAATAAGATATATTTTCCTTCAATTGCTACTTCATAATGAAGGAACAGTAACTTACCAGTGTTTGTGATTGCTATATGAAGTCCTCCACCCACATACACCGTGTGATTTGTCTATCTTATCAAATGGCAACTGAGTGGTATGTTATTTCCAGCAGCACTACTCCTTTACCTAAGGTTCATGAATAAAAGTTGTTTTTTGTTGTTCTTGTTTCTACCCGTCTTGCCCCCATCATAGCATTGTCAGTCACTTTAGTCACTTCTGAGGTTGTGTTTTCTAGCCACTGTTGTAGCCATTAAGTACATGCCAATCTAGTTCTGGACCTCCACATATCAAAGTCAATTTTCTTTTTTTATTATTCAAGATATTTAATGCAATAAAAAAATTAAAGAACGATTCTCCACAGAGATATGTACATAAGGGGATCCATATTCTTTTATCCTGTAATATTACTAGTAGTGGTTACTGTAGTTACTAAGATCAAATCAAGATTTATTTATTGAGGGTTTTGCTAAAATTTCAGATGCTTATGTTACAAGCTTAAGCATATGCTAAATATGGGTTAATTGCAGGTCGAGAAGGCATTCAGAGAAGGTACAGCTCGGCAAAATGCACACAGTATTTTTGTGTCTCTTGCATTAGAACTTTTGGAAGAGCGAGTCCATGTAGCATGCAAAGAAATTATTACGTTGGAAAAGCAGGTACTTGTGGTGATTGCATAGAAGTCATAAAATATTTCATATCATCCATGATTTTGTGCACATCAACTTCGTTGACACACTTCTTGCAGAACAAGCTTCTTGAAGAAGAAGAGAAAGAAAAGCAAGATGAACAAGAGCGCAGGATGAGGAGGAGAACAAAAGAGAGAGAGAAGAAACACAGGAGAAAAGAGAGGCTGAAAGAAAAAGAGAGGGATAAAGGGAAAGAAATCCTTGGGTTGAAATCATCAGATGATAATTCATGTTCAACTCTCAGAAACTCAACATCTACTAATGATGAATCAACAAATACTCCTGACTCTAGAGATTCAGCTAGTGAAGAAGAAGATAATTCCACAGTGGTGGATCTTTGCTCCCCTGACACCTTTGTTGATCAAACAGCTTGCAGGGAGATTAGTGTGCAAAACAATATGGACTACTGCAATACATTGACAGAATTTGCTCGAACAAATAGCAGTGACCTTTTCACATCTGGACAATCAAAATCATCAAGATGGAATCTGAGGCTGAGAAAAGATTTCCCTCAAGATCAGTCCTCTTGTTGCTATGATGAGTGCGGAGATGAAAATGGAAGCATTGGTGATTTTCAGTGGCAATCAAAGGAAAGGACAAGACATAGTGCCCGAAGTTGTAACTCAGTGTTTACTACAAATAACAGAACAAGGGATAGACACAACTACATTTCCTTCAGCTGTGACCCTCGTGATGACTATGTAATAAATGACAGCTGTTCTTCATCATCAACTGGATCAGGTAGGGAGACAAAGATGGCAAGAAAAACAGGAGTTGAGAGACCTAGGGTGCAGTACCGCAGGTGCTATCCTTTGGACAACTTTATTGTGTCAAAAGAAAGCCGTACTGGTAATACTCAGCAGAAAAATGGTGCTCCAAAGCAAGTATGGGAGCCAATGGATTCTCAAAAGAAGAATTTGTTAGACAACAAAAACAATGGGTCGGGAGCAGTTTGTAATGTTGATCCAACCAAATTAGTGGAACAAGATAGCAGTGAATGCCCAAATTTTGACGCAGGGCATGAGCCACTAAGTCAATCTTCTGAAAGATCCAGGGATATCTGTAAATCAGAAACAGATCAACCATGTGAAAACAATGAGAAAAATCAAGCTACTTCTTGCGGTGGTACTATTATGGTGGATAAACAAGACTGCTACTCAACAAAAGATGAAGGTTCTGGGCATGATGAAGAGCTGATGATGAACTCTACCAGTTCTGATGGCTTGTCTTCATGTACGAGTGAAGCAGATAGAGAAAGCAGCACAAGCAGTGTGACTTCTTTGAGCGCTCAACATCAAGAATCATCATCATCTGACTCTGAGGAATCTCCAGAGAGAGTCAACAGCATCGAGGAAGCTCCATCAACAAAGACCGTTTCACGGTCCTTACTTGAGGCTTGTGCAGGAAAAGGTTTCAGAGAATACCAACCAAAAGCCATGCACCGGCCTCACAACGACAGATTGGGATTCAACATACCCCCTTTCCAAGATCAGCTGTTGCATCACCAAAGCATGCATGTACCTACACATTCTTCAGCCACAATGGGGCTCCACAACCATCCCTGGGCTGCTCCAGCAAGTGGATACATGCAGTATGCCCAGCCTAGCCACTTCTATTCCAATCCACTTGGATTTGGAGTACCTGGAAAGCAGTCTCCTGATTTTCCAGTGCAGTACAGCAATGTTCATCACTTCCCAGCTCCTGCTTTTAGTTATGCTCCTCCGGAGCCGATTCGGAAGACCACGCCAAGCTTCAGAGTCATGCATACATCGCCGCCTTACCGAAATGGATTGCATCAGAGTCAAACTGTTGGCCATCCTCATGGAGACCCGACTCTAGAAAGGCATCCTTCTCAGCCTAAGCCGTTGGACCTGAAGGATGCTCCAGGAGAGAACAAAAGCTCGCCTGAGGGGAATGCATCCTTCTCGTTGTTCCAATTCAACCTGCCAATAGCTCCCCCTGCCCCACCATCATCCAAAGATGACACGAGTGGAGAGTCAGCTACAAGAACGCCGTTGGCTCAGGTTCAAGTTCAGCCTTGCTCGAGGGAGCAGACTGATGTCAAAGAATACAATCTGTTTTGCTCGAAAAATGGCAGCATGTTTTCATTTATATCGAGATAAAAGCAACACACGCGGGAGATCTGTACTGTTGTTGCTGTTGTGGTTGGCACTATACTTGGTGAGTGATTTGTATTGTCCGAACGAAATAAAAGATGCTTGAGTTTTTTCCTTGTATTGGCTGCCTCTGTCTTCTTTATTTTAGCCTCCTCCTTGTACGTTCCTCGTGTGTATGAAAACTTAGTAAAGGCATAGATTTCAGAAATGCGGTAAAGTTCTAGTTCATGTGAAGTGCGAACTGCCTTGCAGGGCACTGGAAATAGAACGGTCACCTAGCCCTGGTTCCGGTTCCAACGTGAAGGAGAGGCCACTCGCTAGTCCCTACGTCACAGTATCTATGGCCTTGTTTAGTTACCAAAACAAAAACTTTTCATCCATCACATTGAATGTTTGAATACATGCATGAAATATTAAATTGCGAGACGAATTTTAAGTCTAATTACGCCATGATTTGATAATGTGGTGCTCCAGTAAACATTTGCTAATGACAGATTAATTAGGCTTAATAAATTCGTCTCGCGGTTTCCTGACGGAATTTGTATTTTGTTTTGTTATTAGACCACGTTTAATATTTCAAATATGTGTCCATATATCCGATGTGACAACCGAACCCAAAAATTTTCCCCAACTAAACAAGGCCTATATCTTTTATAAAGTTACAACCCACTAAACATCTAAAACTCAACATATGTAAGCATAGTAGTAGTTGTTAGTATATTCAAAAGAATAACATGCAAACATGCCACATCAACTCACTAAACACCTAAAACTCACCATGCATGCATAGCAATTACTTCTACAATTCATTATATTCTAAACCTCAATATAGAAGCATACTAAATTATCATCTCACATTATTTTCACAATATTTAACCCAAACCGGTCAAATCTATCGATTAGTCCTACGACATTTAACATAAATTCATCCATATATCCCACAGTAAAGCGCAGGGCTTCATCTAATCGTAAATGCCCTTAACTGCCAGTGCTTCTGGTAATTCCCATATGTCAACAGGGATACTACAAAGTAACTTGGCTGCCATAAGGATCATTAACTTTGCAATAATTTCTTGCATATCTACAAACTACAAAGCCGAGTTGATTCTCGCCGGCATGGATGGCAAGCTGTCTATATAATTTGTTGTTTTCAACAAGTTCATCATTGAAACTGCAAAACAGCAAGATACAAAGTAGGCTCGTCAACAAACTCTAATATTTCAAACTTGCTACCGGCAGTAGCCTTCTCTAGAGAAGGCCTGGTAGGCAAATCGGCAGTTACAACTTCAGGATGTTCCCTGCGATGTTGCTCCAAACTTTGCCGTCCTTGATCCAAAAAGATGACAACTCTTCCACCTATGGCAAACGGCATACAGCGTTTCAATTCAAGACAAAATGCATACAAGAAATATCCAGGTGGTATAATCACAACATATCAGAATGACCTCAACACATGAAGCACCCTGACAAGTCGATGTTCATGAAATTTGGCTAAACTAGGGGATGTAGCAAAGGTTGATGACTGATCCTTGATGATGTCTTGTTAATAATAAGAAGCAACGGGTTAAGATAGCTAATCTAAGAGCTTTGTGAGAAGCTGGGTTGTCGGAGCTGAGGAGTGGAGCAAATGTATATAAGAGAAAAGGACAGCTGAATACTATTGAACTAAGAACAAGGACATTTTGATAGCTTGATTCAATTCTCAGATGCAAAAGATGAACTATAAAGCATATATAAAGCAACAAGGCCGCAAATCACCCCATTAAAACTTTAGAGGGCAAGGTTAGGCACATACAACTATACAAGTAGTGCCTGAATTGAGCTAATGCACTCCATGAAACAAACACCATCTACAATGTAGAATTAGGATTTAAAACTAGCCTAACCACAGGAACTGAAAATAATCAGAACAAAACAAGTATATGCATGCCTACGGCTGTTTGTCTGTTCCATAAATCGCATCAAAATTGTTTCAAGCAAACTAAATCAGCACACACAAGGATTAACGATTCAAACCATGTAGGACACTGTATCAAAACCACATGTAATTGTAAACTAATGTATCCAATTTATTTCATGAATATGGCAAGGCAACAGGTTACCTAGTACTAACATTGATATCTCAAGTCACTGTTAGTCATACAAACCAAATTTTGTCACAACAAAATGTACTCCTAGTTTCTTAACCATCACAAACCACCTCAAGAGCAGTGAACACAGCAATTCCGCTGATTATGTACAAACCCACAACTAGGCCCTCCAATTAAGCGAGGAATGCAGAGTTTTAACCCTCAAATGATTGCGAAGCTAACAGAGCAAAACAGAGATAAGATAGCTTCTCACCTTTGGAGCATCTCTTGGCCAGCGACTTGAGCAGCGCGGCGGCCGAGACACCCATCCCGGGGAAGTAGCAGACGAACACGGCGTCGAACGCGTCGAACCTCTCCGGCACGCCCTCCACCACTCCGCCTCCCCTGCCGCCTCCGCCTCCCTCCAAGTGGAAGCACCTCACCTCGTCGTGCCCCTCCTTGATCCCCGCCAGCACGTACAGGGACTCGTGCGCGGCCACCAGGAGCTCGCAGGGGTGCCCCGAGAGGAGGGCGTCCACGAAGGACGGCGCGGGGGTCACGGCCAGCACCCGCGACGCGGGGGAGAGGGCCCCCGCCGCGAGCGCGCGGGGGAGGCTGCCGCCCGCGGCCGCCGCCGCCGCCGCAGCATCGAGGAAGGACCAGTCCTTCTCCACTACGTCCGCGACGGCGACGCCGTCCGGGACCGCGGCAACCGGGCCGGCGCGACGGGAGGGCGGCGAGCACGCAAGGCTGAGCCGTAGGGGGGTAGGAAACCCCGGGTTGATGGGTCGCGAGTAGGGTCGGGGTCGCGGGGTAGGGAGGAGGAGAGGGGAGAACGCCAGCGAGAGGGAGGCGGAGGCGGAGGCCATGGGAGGAGAGGGTGGTGTTGGCCGGAACGGGAGGAGGATGGGAAGGTGGAAAGGTAGACAATGCAGTCTCGGCAGAGTGAGTAGTAGCGGTAACTATGGGCCGGGCCAGGAAACCATAGCCATTAATAATTCGGCCCAATTAGCTAGTTGCTGGTTAGAGAGTTACGGGCTTCTGAAATAGTGTACTGTATCTCACGGCCTGTTTGTTACGGGCTTCTGAAATAGTTACGGGCTTCTGAAATAGCGGTAACTATGTTTGGTACTCTTGCCGCGAGCCCCCGAACCGCGAGTCCATGACCAATCACCATCCATGGCGAAGATGAATAGTTCATGCCGAGCAAAATTTTTTTTCTGCACGGTGATTCAAAATTCAAACAGTAAGTATAATCAATCACAGATTGAGCATAGAGATATGCATGAAAATGCTTCCTTTTTTTCCCATACAAAACGTATGCCAAGGGAATCGTACGAGTACGATGGAATTCAAACGGTAACCAGAAAGTTTCGGAAATTTTCAGTTTTTCACACAAAAGGAAACTGTGACCAGAAAACGAGGTGATCACCCTGCTCCTGGCGGACCCACACGACCAGCCGATCGGACGATCGCCGCTGCCAGACAATGGGTCTACACGAATCTCAAAGCCCAAAGTTTGAATCGTCCCGCTCTTGGCCCTCCCGGCGCTGATCAGTCTTCGCCCAATGACACGTGGGTCCCACTGAGAGATCACAGATGCTGCTGACATCGCGGGAAGGACAAGCCATTGACTAGTCTCTAGGCTATCCCCACCGGAGAGAAAAAGAAGACCAACAGAACTGAGGATTTGAGGAAGGAAAGTGTCCGTCACTGCAAGTGGGGCCCACTCGGAAGCCACGACCCCCTCTTTTGCATGAGCTGCGGCGAGCACGGGCCCACCGCCCACCGCCCCTGCTCTCTCCGATTTCCATTCCAATCTTCCGCGTCGGCACGAGACCACGACGTCACGCATTCCCGCGAATCCGGCCTGCTCGAGACCTCCTCCCGTCGCGACGCCGCAAGCCATCAAAGCGCCTCCTGCTTCCGCTCCTATCCAAGGCGAACCACACTCTGCGATCGAGAGCTCGCTGAGCCGTAAAACCCTAGCTAATCCTTCTCTCTCCCCCCCTCTCGCTGTCGTCTCCGTCTCCGTCTCCGATCTCCGCGGCCTCGGTTGCGGGCTGCGGCTGCGCCGGTGCGGCTCCATGGTCCCGGAGCCGGCTCCCGCGGCGGCGACGGAGCCGAGGCGCTCCACGCGCAGGCGCCTAATGACGGCCGCCGCGATGGAGGCCGAGGCGGAGGCGGTGGCCGACCTCGACGAGATCGACCGCGAGATGTCGCGCGCCGAGTCGCGCAAGCGCCAGCGCAGGACGGCGAAGGAGAAGCCTGGTGCCCGTAAGGGAGCGACCGAATGGAAGCCGGAGGACGTGGAGAAGGCGGCGGCGGCGGAGGGGGTGGCCGAGCTCGACGAGATCGACCGCGAGATGCCGCGCCCCGAGTTGCGCAAGCGCCAGCGCAGGACGGCGAAGGAGAAGCCTAGTGCCCATGAGGGAGCGACCGAATGGAAGCCGGAGGACGTGGAGAAGGCGGCGGCGCAGGAGCCCGAGGGGACCGAGCTCGACAGTGGGTTGTCGCCCGCAGAGTCACGCGGCAAGCGGCAGCGCGGGGTGGAGAAGGTCAAGCGTCGTACCCGTAAGAAGACGGCCAAGGAGAAGACGAAGGAGACGACCGAGAAGTCGGCGGCTCAGGCGCCCGAGAAGATGAAGGTGAACGATGCGGGTGGCGCGCTGGCCGAAGACGTGTGCGCGGATGAGCCGGACGCCGAACAGATGGCCATGGAGGAGGAGGAGGAGGCAGCCGACGTGCTGGAAGCAGAGGAGAGGATGGGTAAGTGTGTCGGAGAAGGATCAGCCGAGAAGGCTGCGACGAGGAAGAGGGTGGCGCGGCCAAGCACTGCGAGAAGGGTGGAGGACTCAGATGACCACTTTGTGGGCGATCCAGTACCGGATGATGAAGCGCGACAACGATGGCCCGTGAGGTACAGTAGAAAGGTAAGAATTTCTAGTAAACCTCTAACTCTATTCTAGAGTTATCTCCTGGAATACTAAAGTTTGTTATCACTTCGATTTTGAGATGATTTTGAAAAATAAAACTGACATGCTCTTTTGTTTTTGTTGCAGGGGTCTGATTCGCTTCTTAAGCAGGAGTATGTGTGTTTTTACGCTAACATTGTTCTGAAAGTACTCTTAATCTCTTCTTATGCTGCTTTTATAATGGTGATCAGAATTTTCATTTATGCAGGCCTGACGAAGATGAAGAAATGAAGGCTCGATGTCACTACCTGGCTGCTAATGTGGATGATGAAATCTATCATCTTGATGATGATGTCTATGTCAAGGTCAGTCATGAATATCTTGTTCACACTTCTTAGAACTTTATTAACCAATGTTGTTTCCTAGTTTTATGTATTGCTTTTACGATAGCATTTTTATATGACTGACTAACAAGGGATGATTAATGTACCTTTTACTTTCTGCCATTTTTGTTTTGCTCTTCATTATAATTGTTATTAAACTTATTATCCTACTATTTGTTCTACTGGTTGTTAACCACGAGATATTAAGTTTTCGATTAATTTGTTGGCACTCATTTTGTACGCACGTAAATTTTCTCATATCATTGTTCTGTGCATATCAATTTTGTGTGGGAAATGGGTACATAACTTGATTTGACTGTGGAGATTAATAAGAATATCATTTCGTTTGGCTTGCATATGCTCTATGGTGTATCGTTGTAAATTATTCATGCGTTATCTATTTGCTTATCATATGTCTTGTCTACTAGGTCCATATGAACCAAACTAACTAATTTGCAGGCTGGTCCTGATGAGGAAAATTACATTGGACGGATTACTGAATTTTTTGAAGGAGTCGACCGTGGATCATATTTCTCTTGTCAGTGGTTTTTCCGTACAGCAGATACGGTATGTCTGAACTCTGAAGTACCTTTTTGTTGCTTTTTAATGGAAATGTAACACTTATAAGAGACATGTATTTGCAGGTCATCTCATCAAAGTTGTTAAAGGTGCATGATCATAGACATAACCATAAGCGTGTTTTTCTTTCAAAGGAGAAGAATGACAACTTGATTGAGTGCATAGTCTCAAAAGTAAAGATTGCCCATGTTGATCCAAATGTAAGTGATATATTCATTAGGCATATATCCTATTTAATGCTTATTATGTTGTCATGTTACAGATGATTTTTTGTTGTTGCTAATATTTAAACAAATTCAGATGACGCCTCAAGCAAGAGCTCATGCTATATCTGATTGTGACCTGTACTATGACATGTCTTACTCTGTTGCATATTCCACGTTTGCAAATCTTCCAGCAGGTAATTGTTTACATGATTCTTTTCCCATTGCAATTATCATAGGTGTGTATGTGCATCATTCACTTTGTTGTTAACTTACATAAGAGACCTTTTATGATAAACTGTATGAGAAAAATATTTTATATTATATTACTATTTTGAATATTTGACAGATGCAAAAATACACTTGTTGCTTCAATATTGTCAATCTCAATGTTTATTGTCTTATCTTCTGAGGGAGCTATTTTCTTGTAGATAATGATGGTGCATTGGGGAGTGAGGCAACATCAAATATTTCCTGCGATGATGCTGACAATTCTTCTAAGGGAAAATTGTCGGCTGATATTGTGGCACCATATAGTGAACAAACAGAGACAGCTTCTCTGCTTGATCTTTACTCAGGATGTGGCGCTATGTCAACTGGGCTTTGTTTGGGTTTTGCATTTTCTGGCATAAATTTAGAGACTGTACGTTTTGTACTTGGTGTGACTCCTAACTGCCTACTAAGCTCTTTTGTCTATTGACAATGTTAATACTTGCTTTATTGTGCAGAGGTGGGCTGTTGACATAAACAAATATGCTTGTGCTTGTCTCAAACATAATCACCCATACTCGCAGGTAGTACATTCCTGTTTCCACTTGTGTACTGCCACTAGATAGTATCACCTTGCACATCCACCACATAGACAAATTCATGTGTTTGCTTTTGCCTCTACTTTGTAGGTGCGGAACGAGAAAACTGAGGATTTTCTTGCCCTTATTCAGCAGTGGGATGCACTTTGTAGAAAATATGTTGTCCACAAAAACGATACACTAGAACCTAGTATAGATATGCCCTTAAATGATGCTGACGATGTAAATGAGCCTCTTCCAGAAGATATATTCGATGTAGAGGAGCTCCTTGAGATATGCTATGGTGATCCAAGTAACACAGGAAAAAATGGCTTGTGGTTTAAGGTAATAGACTTAATGTTTACTAGTTAACTAGCATTCCTTTAATTTCATATTTATTTGTATTAATCTAGTGTGGTACTATATTATTGAAAAAGTACCCTGTGAATTATATTTTATATAGGTGCGGTGGAAAGGGTATGATCCAAGTTATGATACATGGGAGCCAATTGATGGGCTCAGGTTGGTATCTCTTTCATTATGCCCCTTTCACATTTTTTGTTTTATTGTTAGTGCCTAATCGTTACAAATTTCAGTGATTGCCCTGAGCGTATTAAAGAATTTGTAGAGAAAGGACACAAGGAAAATATTTTGCCCTTGCCCGTAAGTATCTTTCTCATCTTCTTTTTTTCCTTTTCAGTTTTGTTGTCATGCCATCTTATCATGTCCTTTAAATTCGTAAGGGTGCTGTGGATGTCATATGTGGTGGGCCTCCATGTCAAGGCATCAGTGGGTTCAACCGATTCAGAAAGCATAATGATCCACTTGAGGATGAAAAGAACAAACAGTTGGTTGTTTTTATGGATATAGTGAAGTATCTGAGGCCCAAATATGTCCTCATGGAAAATGTTGTGGACATATTGAAATTTGCAGATGGATTCCTTGGACGCTATGCAATGAGTTGCCTTGTGGCTATGAATTATCAAGCTAGGCTTGGGATGATGGCGGCAGGATATTATGGGCTACCGCAGTTCAGAATGCGGGCATTTCTCTGGGGAGCCCTTCCATCAATGGTTTCTCTCTATGCTTTCTTAATCTTATTCCTTTGTGACACTTTTGCATATTAAGATGTTACATTCACCAATAGGTATTACCAAAATTCCCACTTCCTACCCATGATGCTGTTGTGCGTGGAATAGTACCAACTACATTTTCGGTAAGAGAATTGAGTAAATAATTGCCAAGATTTCATTATTGTATTATGTATTGTCTTAATATTTGGCTGCTCCATTTGCAGCAAAGTGTTGTTGCATACAATGAGGTAGACACCCGTTGCCTACGAAAGGCTCTTCTCCTTGCAGATGCCATATCTGATTTACCCAAGGTTTGTGTTATTTTCATATATCCATGGATCTTTATCTTTTGAATGCTGATTGGACAATTGTGTTGTTCTTTTTTTGTATGTGCTATATTACAAATTTACAGGTTGGAAATGATCAACCTAAAGATGTAATAGAGTATAGTGTTGCCCCCAAAACTGAATTTCAACGGTATATCCGGAACAACCGTAAAGGTAGTCCATGATTTGTTACTAATTGAATTAACAAATATCGATAAATACTGTTCATGAAATCTACTCCCTCCGTCCCATAAAAAAACACACCTAATATGGGATGTGAAACAGTCTGTTCAGATTCGTAGTATTAAGATGATCCATATCCCTTACTAGGTTTATTTTTTTATGGGATGGAGGGCTATGTTCGTTTGTTATGCTCTTTCCCTCTGCATTTGTGGAATTCTAACTATTTAAATTTTCATTAGTGTGTGGGTTTGACAATTGCCTTGCCCGTTGGTTTATGCAATTCTAAGTGTTGCTACTTGTAGTTTCTTGATTGAATTTCTAGGCCAAGTTACTTTGTTTTGTTATTCATTTTCAGACATTCAGGATTACTCTTTTCGTGGAGATGATCCTTCTGAAGAAGGTAAATTGTTTGATCATCAACCTCTAAAGCTAAACAAAGATGATTATGAGCGTGTGCAGCGGATACCTGTAAAAAAGGTTAGCAAGGCTTAAGATTGTCATGCCAGTTACTTTCAATACCTTGGTTGCTTACCTTTTTTTCTGTTTCAGGGAGCGAACTTTCGTGATCTAAAGGGCGTCATAGTTGGCCCAGATAATACTGTGCGGCTGGATCCAAACATTTCCCGTGAACGACTGTCATCTGGGAAGCCTTTGGTACTTTTATATTTTGCTATATTTCAACAACTGCAATGTCAATGTTTCCTCTTTTGCATGCCATTAATTACTGCTTCTCTGGATAGGTGCCTGACTATGCCATATCTTTCGTCAAGGGGAAGTCAACTAAGTAAGTACGTTGAGCATAATGGTTCATTTTACACAATCTTGATTGATAATTCTAATTAATCTGGCAATGCAGACCGTTTGGACGCCTGTGGTGGGATGAAACTGTTCCCACTGTAGTTACCAGAGCTGAGCCTCACAACCAGGTATCATTTTTTTTTTGGCGTTTTTCCCATCTTAATGCCACTTCGGTTGTAATTGTGCATAAACGGACTCCCCCATATTGCAGATTATTTTGCATCCTAGCCAAGACCGAGTTCTGACTATTCGCGAGAATGCAAGGTTGCAAGGTTTTCCTGACTATTACAGATTGATCGGCCCACTAAAGGAGAAGTAAGTGCTTATAGGATGTTTGTATCGATTGTAGTGGATTCAGGAATCAGTAATATGGACTTTAGTGTCCATATTTTGGATTGAATTACTCACAGATATAATAGTATATGACAGATGAGTGTTGTGTAGTTCCATTCTTATGCTATGTATTCTTGTTCAATGTAGATATATCCAGGTTGGCAATGCGGTTGCAATTCCAGTTGCTCGAGCTTTGGGGTATGCTCTTGGGCTGGCCTACCGGGGTGAATCTGATGGAGATCGAGCAGTACTCAAATTGCCAGAGAGTTTTATTTATGCTGATCAAGAGACGGTTGTTAAATCTTCGGCAGGAACTCCTGGAAGTGAAATAGCTGATTCGGAACAGTTGTTTGAATAGTATGTTATCTGAGTCACTTGTATAGTTGGGTGATGTGCTATAATTGTTTCTGTATGAGTTTCGAACACGGACAGTGCATGCATTGTCCAATGCTCCAAACATTCACTGGTTAACCCTGGAACTGAGTAATTTGCATACGTTTCTTCATTGGATGTCCATTTCTTTCTGGTTTAGATATGTGAGTGAAATACTTTATTTGCTTCGATTCTAATTGAGCTGCTGCTACATTGTATTATCGGGCTCTTTATTTAATGGGATACTGGCTACTTTTGAGCAAAATCTATCCTTATGCTCTTGTTTTTACTTGTATGAAATTTCCCTGTCCTGTCTGACGTTACACAAAGATGCATGGAACGATAGTGTTCAGTACACCAGTTTCGATGCTGTTTTCTTATATGGGCATAAGTTATTTGTTATTTGACAACTGCTGACTGTTAATGACCGAAGATTCAGTCACTGTTTTTTTTTACTGATACAAAATTCATTTAATTTCTATTACTGGCTCTTTATTAAAAGAAAGAAAAGAAATCTACATGGCACAAAGCATTTGCATGGTAATATACATAAACTCCTTTTTTTTTTGGAGTTTTTCATGGACGGGCCCTGATTGGCTGTTAGTACTGCTGGACAGTCTCAGTACTTCAGCGAAGGCAGATGTATTTACTTTGGAGAGCCTGGCATCTGCGAAATGACGTGATCCATGGTAAAGGAAATGCATCAATAGCTGACTCGGCTAGCTTCCTGGTAAGCTATGAAAATCAATTGTAGCCGATCCGACAACGGGAAGATGATCACAAAGGGAAGGGCCCTATGTATATGGAACATAATAAAAAAGTTCCAACTACAAGTATGAACAGACAGGCTGACAGATGGTGTGCGCCGCCGGAATATTTCGCTAAACTGAATGTTGACGCTGGTTACAGAGAAGAGTCTGGGGATGCAAGCGTCGGATTTATATTCAGAGACTGAAGGGGTTGGTGCTTCTTGCTGGCCACAAAACCTTGCATCAATGCGGTTCTTCGGCCCAGGCGGAGGCGCTAGCATGTCTAGAAGGACTGTGATCGGCGGTTGAATTGATCCACATGCCAATTGTGATGGAGATGGACAATGCTGAAATTGTCGATGGCATAAAACAACAGGGGCCATTGAAATCGGCCTGGGCGACGACAATTGAAGAGATTAAAGGAGTGATGTAGTGTTTCCAACAAGTGCAAGTGCACAAGATAAATAGGCGACGACAATTGAAGAGATTAAAGGAGTGATGTAGTGTTTCCAACAAGTGCAAGTGCACAAGATAAAGAGAGAAGCAAATAGGGTAGCTCATGTTTTAGCACAAATGGCAATGAGTACTAGATCTCGTGCGGAGTGGAAAAAAACATAAGCTCTTTTTTTTTTTTTGAATCTACACAGAAGCTCCCTTGACCACCAATGATAATGATGTTTGTCAGCTGAGCTCCAATGGTTGGGAACGTCCCAGTTGGCATGGAGACCAAAAATAGAAAATATAAAGAGATTGTATCCCAGAAATGCGCGCGAGGCGGTGCGGTGGAGGTTGGACAATGTGACGAAACCAGCGCTTTGAAGCCTACTTCCTTTTCCCTTCCCAATTCTGCTTCAACCCCTTCTGTTTTTTTCAGAAAGAACAGGGAAAAAGGAAGGTACATTATTGATTCTTCAATTTCATGGCATTTCAATTCCTCTATTTGTTTGGTACTCTGAATGTTGTATTCGATCTCACCTCCAGTTTCATAAACCCCAATTTCTTTTGCATGATGTTTGCTTTTCTTAAAGTGAATGTGGTTATTCCCTTGATCCTAGATTCTAAGATGTAAGGTAAAGTAGCTTTTGAACTATCTTCCTTGATGTTCCAGGATTCTAAAATGTAAGATAAACAAAAAAAAAAGGACTGCTTTTCAGCGTGTAGTTCTGTATGAATGGACATGTTAACTAAACCAAAGGTCTGATGAAACATGAGACAAGTCCCTCAAATGCAGATAAAATCCTCAAATCCCTCACTATCCTCTCCCATGGTTATGCATCCTTTCTTTTTTTTTTCCTTTTAGATAATATCACCATTTTTTTCCTCCCATATTTTTGCAGGGGTTTATCGCGACGAGGAGCCGAGGAGGGGGAGGCGCGCCGCGCCGTTCCATTCCAGAACATCCTCTCGTGGGAGGGGTGGAATCGTCTTGATCATCGCCGGGGCGAGATCCGTCTCGACGTCCGGCGGGAAATGGACGATTCCCCGCTAGATAATCTGTTTGATGGAAATGGATTGGATTCATCGGCAGGCGCGGACAGCTCTAGCTCCACGGGATCACCGCCGAGCTCCACGTCGTCGTCCCCTCCGTCGTCGCAGTCACCTCCTCCGGGGTCATCGCCGCCTCCTGCCAGCCCGCCACCGTCCACACCGTCGGCCCCACCGACCAATTCCTCGGGCTCAGCACCGTCGCCACCTTCCCCGTCGCAGTCGGCGCCACCGGCGAATACCGGCGGCGGCGGGTCCCCACCACCATCGCATGGCTCGCCGCCAGCGCCAAAGGCCGTCCAGTCTCAACCCGCTCCGAAGCGTAGCGGCGACGGTGGCTCCTCCTCGGACAGTGGGAGCTCCAAGGAGGGAGGCAGCTCGAGTGACCGTGGCAAGAGCGAAAGCAACGGCAACAGGCCGGGGCCAGAGGCTGCCATCATCGCCGGCATGGTCATCGGGTTCTTCACCTTCGCCCTGCTGCTGGCCATCGTCGCCTGCGTGTGCTGCTCCAAGAAGAAGAAGAGACCTCCCCACATGCACATGCCGTACTACACCGACGAGAACGGTAAGCACACATCTACACGCGACGCGACGGCATGGTGCGCTCGCCACGCATGCCGCAGAGAGATCTTGTGCAGTTGACATGGGGTGCGCTCCCGCGTCCGCGTGCATGCAGGGAAAGTGTACTACGCGAACAGCATGCCCAGGTGGCAGAACAGCGTGGACCAAGGCGGCGGCTGGCACGCGCAGTACTCGCCAGGCCAGGCGCCGCCGAGCAGCGAGATGAGCGGGTCGCACGGGGCGGGGCCGCTGCCGCCGCCGTCACCGGGCATGGCGCTGGGGTTCTCGAAGAGCTCCTTCTCGTACGACGAGCTGGCGCTGGCGACGGGCGGGTTCTCGTCGGCGAACCTGCTGGGGCAGGGCGGGTTCGGGTACGTGTACAGGGGCGTCCTCGCGGGCAGCGGCAAGGAGGTGGCGGTGAAGCAGCTCAAGGCCGGGAGCGGGCAGGGCGAGCGCGAGTTCCAGGCCGAGGTGGAGATCATCAGCCGTGTCCACCACCGCCACCTCGTCTCCCTCGTCGGCTACTGCATCGCCGGCTCATCCCAGCGCCTCCTCGTCTACGAGTTCGTCCCCAACGACACCCTTGAGCACCACCTCCACGGTCTCCATATCTTTCCTGCTCTTTTCCCAGCCATCGTAACGCGCCATTCGTACGTGAGATTTTTGTTCGATTCTGACACGCGCGTGTGCCGGATGCGTGCAGGGAAGGGCGTGCCGGTGATGGCCTGGACGACGAGGCTCGCCATCGCGCTCGGCTCAGCCAAGGGCCTCGCGTACCTTCACGAAGATTGTAAGGTCCCTAATAAACTTTTCGTTTAATTTGCAGTCTGCAGGGACAAATCCTGTCTGTACGTCCTTCTAACGATCTGATTTGTTGCATTGTGGTTGTCACGTACGAAGGCCATCCTAGGATCATCCACCGTGACATCAAGGCGGCCAACATCCTCTTGGACGAGAATTTCGATGCTAAGGTGAACACACCAGCTTGTTTAAGCTGCGTTTAAGATTGAACTAGCTAGTCCTGACTTGTTTGAATTCATTTGCATTAGGTTGCGGATTTCGGGCTTGCAAAGCTAACCACGGACACCAACACGCATGTCTCAACGCGCGTCATGGGGACTTTCGGGTTAGTGCAACATGAGACCGTGGCTCGCTCGTTGACATGCATGACGGACGAGCGGGCACGGATGACGAGTCCCAGTTACATGTGTGTAGGTATCTGGCTCCCGAGTACGCGTCGAGCGGCAAGCTGACGGACAAATCGGACGTCTTCTCCTTCGGCGTCATGCTGCTCGAGCTGATCACCGGCCGGCGACCGGTCGACCCAACGAACTACATGGAGGACAGCTTGGTTGACTGGGTGAGCGTCACCCTCGCCTCCATCGCAAACTACCACTACTACATCCTAAGCTTACATACGTGGTTCTGACACGCCGGCCACTCGATCGCTTGGTCGTGACAGGCGAGGCCCCTCCTGGCGCGCGCCTTGTCGGAGGACGGCAGTTTCGACGAGCTGATCGACCAGCGCCTGGAGAACAAGTTCGACCGGCTGGAGATGGAGCGCATGGCCGCATGCGCTGCCGCCGCCGTCCGCCACTCCGCCAAGCGCCGCCCAAAGATGAAGCAGGTAATTGAAACCGCACAGCTCACAGTGATCAAACTGATCATCGATCACCTGGTTGCCTGGCAATATATGATATTTTTTCTTCTTTGCGTGTATTGCAGATTGTCCGTGCGCTGGAGGGCGACGCGTCGCTGGACGACCTGAACGAAGGGGTGAAGCCCGGGCAGAGCATGATGTTCAGCACGGGGTCGGAGTACGACTCCGGCAACTACGCTTCCGACATCAACAGGTTGAGGAAGGTGGCCTTCGAGAGCAGCATCGAGGACAGCAGCGAGTACGGGACCCACTCCAGCGCCGACTCGGGGGAGCCACCCCGGCGGCAACAGCATCGCTAGCCGTATGATCGGAGGCGTCGAGCTAGACTTGACTATTTCTTCGGTGCGTGAGTGTGGAAAGTGGAAACTGTGTGGTGTTGCGAGATGGCGAATCATCGATGGGAACCGGGGCGTACCGTGTATGTGGGAATTGGGATACTGTCGTGCATATTGCAGGCCGATCGTTTGACGTGACTGCTTTGTTGGCTGTATTATCGTGTGATTTAATGATGTATCCGATCGATGAGTAATGCGATATTGCGCTTATCTTGCATATATCTACTGGTGAGGTTTGCACTGAATCGAGAAAAGGAAGAAGAGAGGTTTCGTTTGAAGTTAAGGATACATTCGAAGGAACTTACATAAGTTTAGTCAGCTTGTTTCTAAGGGCATTCCCAACTCTCCATCTAAGATGGTATATATGGCATTAACTACTGTCATGTAGGACTTTTAGCTTATGTGACACTGTATTAATTAAGAGAGAGAGAGTGAATAGAGGAAGAAACCGGGTCTCATGCAAGACACAGTTTCAACACGAGAACCCATGCACTAGACACTATCAAGTTTTGCATTTGGAGAGAATAGTCTCTTTATAATAGATGAAGAATAAATATGATTGGTAGAGAAGAGAGATGATGTATTTATTAATGGCCCACTTTAAGAAACCATAGGTTGTAGAGTGTAGTTTATATTTATTAATGGCCCACTTTAAGAAACCATAGGTTGTAGAGTGTAGTTTCTATTGTGATGTCTTATTGACATGGCACCATAGACACTGCTTATGGACAATATGGGTTGGGACTGCCCTAATGGAACGGTTGAAAAGCGTCGAACGTACTGCACGTGTTTCTTTGTGCCGTGTCCCGGCCATCCTTCCTCTCTCCTCAAGCTCCCTCGTCGGCTGGCGAGCATTAGGGATGCAAGCCGGGCAGGCAAACAGGCTTTTTTTTCCTGCTTATCCTACTTCTAGTTCATTTTTTCTTCTAAATTTTGTACTATCATGCGAAAAATAGACTAGCAAGCGGGTTTTTATGCGGGTAGTAGGACTACCCACTTGCATCCCTAGCGAGCATGCATAGAGAGGGAGAAGGGGGGTATCTTCACTGGCACCGCTTGATGGGAGACGAGGTCACTGCCGGCTTGCTCCTCTTCCGTTGTAATGGAGACCATTGTCTGCAGGAGAAGTGGGGAAGCAGCTGTGCAGAGAGAGGGAATGGTGATGTCGGCCTTCAAAAGGGGAACTCAACGACGACAGGAGGGGATCCGATGGCGGCATTAGGAGACGCGACGAGAGGGGATCCAACTTTGACTGGCTCTTGGATCCATCATCGACGGGAGGGGACCCAAATCCCCGTGGTTGTCGTGGGTTTGGTGCTTAGCCTCGCCGCGGCGGGAGCTTAGGAGGCCTGATGGCGAGGCGGGAGCGGAGGTCCCTAGACCTCCCCACAGCGGTCGAGCTCGGTGACACCGCGCCCATCGCCTAGCTCCTTCCCGCCGGTCATTGCCCTTCTCCCCGATGGCCATCCCCCCCCCCACGGAGAGCGGCCGCTCCACTCTCACCGCTTGTTGCACACTGCTCCTCTCTCGCCGCCCGTCGCGCTCGGCGTCCTTGCTGCGCTCCTCTCCCTCTTGCTCTTGCCGCTGCCATAGGAGCGGGGAAGGATGGAGGATGGACACCCAAAAGAAGATTGGAAAAGAGGGGAAGAGGGTGAGGTGGAAGAAGTGGGAACCACTGACATGTGGGTCCTATTTTTTTTGTTTGGCTGACATGTGGGTCCCGTATATTTTGTTTTATTTTTTTAGTCTTTAATTTTGTTCCATTTATTTTTTTTGTCAAACTGCCACGTAAGCGCCATGTCAATGTCACGTGGGACGAAGACTTAGTCAAAGGCATCATGTCAGTTAAAACTGGAGTCAATACTACCGAGGGACTTCGTTTGTATGGTTATATAAGTTGAGGGATGTATTATATCCGGTTTTTGGATCAAGGACGAAAAATAGATTGGGCGACGAACTAAGGGACCTAAAGTGAACTTCCTCCTCCTCCAGAATACCTTCAAGGTGTTGATGCGAAAAACACACACTGGCCTGAGATCTGCTTAGCTCCAATGCAGATCCAAAGGTTGGTGAGATGCGGGCGTGCTAGTCAGTTTGATTCTGCAACTGACAAGATATGTAAAGAGTAGATCAAATAGCCGATCGGTTGACAAGCCGATGAAATAATTCCAGCCGATGCCGATACCAGCCGATAACCGATGCCAGCCGATAGCGATAGGTTTCTGAGCTATCGGCTTTATGTCCAATGTAGAGTCTGACACTTGACTTAAATAATGATATAAAGGCAGTCGGCTGATGATAATGTAGTATAACAATAACATAATCCATTAGAAACTAATTAGCTAGCAATGATATGATAGAATAAGCACTGATCCGACGGTTAAAACATACATCGGCTGTAGGTCCGATGTCATAAAATCCACAAGATTAGATTAAACAGTGAAACCTTTGTTGCGATCGGCTAAGTCAAACTTATATGTATATGCAATCCTTGTAAGCCGATGCAACGTCCAGATAACTTATCGGCTAGCACCCCGATAAACACCAGCATGAACCTATCGGCTTAACAAGACTTATATTATCAACAACAATCTAATAGGTCGAACCTAACCGATGCAGCACGAGATTGTATATGATAATCTAATACTCGATGAGCCGATAGATCTGTCTAATGTGATGGATATAACAAATCTATTTAGAACACCTTTGTGATTGTAGAGATATATTGGCTAAGACAGAAGATCGGACCTAACCGAGACATTCCAACTAAATTGATGCGTCTCTAAACACAATGCAACTAGGTGCCAAGTTCCGTCGGATGATAAGTAAAAACCTCGGTAAAGAGGGTGGCGATGCGCCGAGAGTAGTATTGATCGAGAGATTGATAGATTACAATGACCTCGGGTGTACATATTTATACCCATAGGGAGATACTAGTCCTTGTCGGACAAGAATGAAACTACAAATAAAAGGAAAAGATAAAGTCCTTATAGGACATTAAACACACTTTCCTAAAGATAAAAGGAAACTAACAAATTATTCCTAATTAATAGATAACTTGCTATGTCGCATTCTCTTTGAACTCGGTCTCTTCTGGATAAGCTTCCTTTAGTAGATCAATTTCCTTAACCGAATATAGCAAGAATCCGGCAACTGACGACGTGATAAGTCTCATCGGCTAATCTCAGGACTTCGAAGTCGATGCTGACTCTAAGCCGATGATTACTCCGGGCTTACCAAATTTCACTGTTAACACAAGGAAAAAGTCTACTTTGACCCCCTTAAAAGTATCTCGAATCTAATTTATACCCCTTATCCAGAAAACCAGGTAAAACGACTCCCCTAACTATTAAAACCAGTATAATTTAACTCCCTCGGCGGTTTTGGATGCCGGTTTTGCTGATGTGGCGCTTTGACTTGGTCCAATTGGCTAACTCAGCATGTGGGACCCACATGCCAATGTCACATTTTCCTCAACTCTCTTTCTTTTATCTTTTCCCCCTCTTTTTCTACCTCTTTTTCTTCAGGGCGCTGGGAGTGGGCGGTGACTGACGGCGAGAGGAGCACGTGGGCGTCTTCTCTGTGCGGCTGCGCCCGTGCCACTGCCATTGGTGGAGTACGCCGAGCGTGTCACGCCCAGAAATTCCCGAATAGAATTTCAAGCAGAATGTGCATTAAATTCCCCGTCCAGGACCAGCCGGGGTACACAAACGACAATGTTGACATTCAGATCCACGTCTTACAAACATCATAAAAGTCTTACATAAATGCAGCGGAAGAAAAGAAAGACAACAAGAGCTAAGCCTTGACTAAAACTGCAGCGGGAACACCACTCCACAGGCATCCTCGACGGCACGGACAAAGCCTACTCCTCGGAGAAACCTTCATCTGACCCGAACTCGAACTCTGGGGTTGGGAAAAGTAGAGCAAGACTGAGTACTACCCACTGTACTCAGCAAGTCATACCGGAATAGGGGTATGATGCACGGAATTATCAAAGAAGAGCTAGAGCGGTTCATTTGCATAAAGCGAGCATTTATAAACAGAAGTTGAAAGATTAAACCGTTGTAATAATTAATTAAACATCCACTATCCAACGCTATCCCACGTTGCGACAGGCCCAACCATCCACCTAAACTAACCAAATTCAAAAGATTACACTAGGGTGATACTAATCACGGTGAATCTGGTTGACCGCCCATAACCGCGGGCACGGCTATTCGAATAGTTTTACTCTGATCAGAGGTGTACAACTGTACCCACAAGACACAGCCCCGCGACACGTTTTCGTGCGCCGACATGCCACCACGACATATCGGAAAGAGGCCGTGACAGGACCCTTCGCATAACCCCCTCTAGCCAAGCACACCACACCTCAGGTTTCACCCCCGTCCCCAGCGGGCAACGGGCAGTCCCCTCTCGTGCCTAGGTGAATCCGGAAGCGACAGAGGCCGTCGCAGGGCCCGCCCCGCTCTATCACGCCCACCCTTGCCTGAATGCGTCGACTAGAGGAAAGCTACACTACAAGCCCAGCCGTTGCCCACGCTGGCTTGTGGTAAGTACGATAAGTTCTTCCAGGGCATCCCGCGAACCGGTCCTTAACTGCCATGGGTGCGACCAGCAAAACCATGCACCCACAGCCCACCATGTGATTTATTTTAATTAACCAACACCAAAGCGGTGGCACTAATCCAACAAAACCATTAGAACCAACAGTCTAAGCATTAATATGATTTTCCCCATTGTGAACTAGTTGAACTAAGCATGGCTAAGCAATTCCTAGTCCAAACTCTAATCATGTTATAACCCCAAGCTAACAAAGGAGCATGGTATCCAAAAAGCATGGCTGTAACAATAGGTAACCATCCCATAGTAATATTATAAAACAATGCAATATTTGAAAGAAAACAATGGAGCATTTGCAATATAGGATCAACATGTTCAAGTGACAAGCATGACTTGCCTTGCTCTGCTGCTGGAGGAACCTCGGCGACTATTTCGAAGTACACCGGAGCGTCGGAGGGGTCGGAATCTAGCGACATACAAAGCAAACATTGCAAACAGGCTATAAGACTACTGAAACAGGGAACACAACCATTTTTAATGGATTCTACACATTTTTCTTGATTTACTGAGACTTGAATGGGCTTAAACGGAGCTCGGATGAATTAGTTATGAATTTTAGAAGATTCACTGTGTTTATTACTATAAAAGAAAAA